AAGAAATTTGTCATGTTATTTTTCCCATTCTAAAGGTGAAAAAATTCAGCCAAAAACAATGGAAAGTTATTCCCTCGTGGTCCCCAGCTAAATGGTAAAGGGTTTAATATTTCACATTATTTGGCCTCAGTAGAACCTCATATCCACTAAATAGTTGAACCTAGCCTCCTAGTCTTTATAAGATTGTATTTCCAAATGCAGCTCACTGGTTATCGCTAGCCATTTTTTTTTTTTTGCGGTACGCAGGCCTCCCTCTCACTGTTATGGCCTCGGAGCACTCCGGTCACGCAGGCTCAGCGGCCATGGCTCACGGGCCCAGCCGCTCCGCAGCATGTGGGATCCTCCCGGAATGGGGCACGAACCCATGTCCCCTGCATCGGCAGGCGGACTCTCAACCAGTGCGCCACCAGGGAAGCCTATCTCTAGCCTTTTTATCTTCCTTCAGGCAGGGAAAGAACAGAATCTACTTCTAACATATAAAGAAATATTTAACGCCCATTCATTTTCTTTCTTAGATAGATAGACCTTTTGAAACCCAGTCCCTGACCACACAAAGACCACTTGCTATTTCTGGCTATAACATAAATATTTAATTAAAACCTACTTTGAACCATTCTTCCTTAAAGCACAAAGTACACTAGCCTTGGGCTGCACTTATGCCATTTCCCAAATCCATCTGTTACTTAATCCCAGGGTTTTTACCAGCTTTGCAAATTTAGGATGCATTCACCTGGCTGTTGGAAATGTTGCTAGGAGATGAATTTTTAATCTTTGAGATAACTGTTTCTGGAAGAGAACCAGTCAATCTGGCTATTTTGTGTGGACATATCTTTTGATTTATCTTGGGTATATACCTAGGAGTGGAAGTGCTGTGTCATCCAGTTTTTTATTCCTGTTAATATATATATTTTAAAAATTTCCCTCAGTTTTATTAACATATAATTGACATACAGCACTGTATTAGTTTAAGGTGTACAGCATAATGACTTGCATATATTGTGAAATGATTACCACAATAATTTTAGTTAACATTCTTCATCTCATATAGATAAAAAAAAAGTTTTATTCCTTGTGATGAGAACGCTTAGGATTTACTTTTAACAACTTTCCTACTATTATAGCTAATATAGAGAATGCTGCGATGAACATGGGTGTGTGGACATGTCCTAGAGTTTTTTAGTTATTGTTAAATAGGAAGAATACAGGAAAGTATGTCTATTACATCTTCCTGAAACTAATATCTCTTTCTTTCCTTCCTTCTTTCCTCCCTCCCTTCCTTCCTTTCCTTATTTTTTGGCTGCACTGTGTCTTGCTGCTGCACGCGGGCTTTCTCTAGTTGTGGCGAGCGGGGGCTACTCTTCGTTGTGGTGCGTGGGCTTCTCATTGCGGTGGCTTCTCTTGTTGCGGAGCATGGGCTCTAGGTGCACGGGCTTCAGCAGTTGTGGCTCACAGGCTCTAGAGCACAGGCTCAGTAGTTGTGGTGCACGGGCTTAGTTGCTCTGCAGCCCGTGGGATCTTCCCAGACCAGGGCTCGAACCCGTGTCCCCTGCATTGGCAGGTGGATTCTCAACCACTGTGCCCCCAGGCAAGTCCTCACCCATAGTTTAATAAGCAACCTCATCCATGTTTAACGTATTCCAACTGCTTTTCTTTAGCAGACAATTAGAACTTTCCAAGCTTTTTTTTTTTTTGCCCTCTAACAAATACTGCTTTTCTGACCAGAAAGAAGTAACTGCCTTTGTATTAAGGCACAACACAACTGTCACTGTGGCATAAATTCATGCTGTTTGTCCCCATGATCTCAGCTAAGACCCTGTGGCCCACAAAACAAAGGCACCTGAGATTTTTCCCTCAGCTGAAGCATAGGGGAGGTACCTGAGAGCTGAGACTCTTGGAATTGTCATGGTCTTTGGTCCTGTGTCCAGGTTCATGTCTCCACTGGTGCTGAAGATGAATACTAAGATTTACCAATGTAAAAGCATCTTCAAGTGTCTTTCCTCCTGAGTCCATCTTTGACAAAAGTCCCCAAAGCTTGACCCCTTAGCAAAGGTACAACTCCATATCCTGGCCACTCTTAGGGTATAAAGAGAGAATGAGTTGCCCAGGGGTACACAACAGATGGACTGTTCTCCGCACGTCATGCACTTGTGCAAGGGGTGAGGTGCAGTTGTATGGTAATACGTGAAGTGTACGGTGAGCCTTTAGGGTGCATAGAAAGGATAGACGAAAAGAGCATCAGCTAGTCTGTCCCACTTACCTCAACCCACCCAGTTCAGGGTCTTCACATGTTTCTTTTGAGAGTGAAAAGTTGTACACATATAAAGTCTAAGTGTCACTGTAATTCTCTTTAAAAAGGATTTTTTGTGCTGTTACATTTTGAGGAGTAATTTTCTATAACTTAGGCAATATTCAGAAAGAAATATTAAAATCTTAAAATTTCATTGTCTTAAAATAACTTAAATGAGTATTAGAAATACAAAAACAGGCATCCAGAACATTAAAAAAATGGGAAAACAAAATTAAATGTTATCATAGACCTACTTTGTTATCTGATTAAGTTTTTTTTGGTTTGGTCAATGTCAGCTTACAGAATATAAGAACAGACCGCATGTTTACTTCTGAATAAAAATCCAAAACCGTTTAGAAAGACAAAAACAGGTTCTCTTTACCTCATTTTCACTAAAACCAATTATTCTAAATGTAGTTTTTTTCCCCCTAGCTTACTCATCTCATTTTCCACTTCTAATTTACCTCTAAGTAATAATATAATAGGAAGATTTATATTTTTTCTCCATTCTCCCAATATTACTCTCATTTAACTATCTCTGGGAAAAATAAGTCTGACAAGTAGACTTTATAATGATTTTTCTCATTCAAAATCATACTGTATTAAAGAACTATATTCTTCACTGTCTTTTAGTTAAAAGATTATCTCCAGGATTTTCCTCTGAGAAAAAAACTTTCTAACTACTCTATAATGATTTATCTTACCTAAAAGATAGAGAAACATTTATACAGTGACTGTATAATTATGAGTCAGTCAGTAATTCAACCTCAGAGAAGTTCAACAAACCATTACAATCAGAAAGAGCAACTTAAGGTAAAAAGAAAAAAAACTGGTTTGAAAGAATTTTAGGTATTTTAATCTATTTCTTAGTAAGAGCTACGTGGATTCCATTCAGCTTAAGATACATGTAACAGGGCACTTACATTCTCATATTAACCTGTTTGGAACACCAAATCATTATTCTAGCAAAATAAAATATAAAAACCCTAATATACTATATAATTCTCTTGACAGTGAAACGTTCCAGGGAGGGTTATTTACATACAGAAAACCTGATATTTGCTACAGATGCAATTCAGCTTCCACTAGTGTTATTTCAAAGACATGTCATTTTTAACCCTGTACTCCTTTAGACCAGAGTTTTTCCAGCGGGGCACTACTGACATATGGGGCTGGGCAACCCTTTGTTGCAGGGGGCCGTCCCATGCGAAGCAGGTGATTCAGCCAAGTCCTCGGCCTTGACCACCTACATGCCAGTGGCATTCACCATGGTGCGAAGGGTACAGATGTCTCCAGACACTGCTAAACGTCTTCTGGGGGCTAATGCACCCCCTGTTGAGAACCACTGCTTTAGAGTATGTCACATTTCCTACCTTTTCACTCAATAATTAATAAACTATTATGTATCTAAAATTCTGAAGGAAATACACAGACTAATAAAACAAACTGTTTTTAATTAAGGAAGGCTTAACTTAAGGCATCATACTGACATCTACTGGCTTGGTACTAGACCGTACATTTGACATATACTGCATTTAAAAAAAAAAACCCTCAAAATTATAAGTAATATAGGTGCTCTTCTGGGAAACTAGAACAGTTAATTGAAAGCAGTTAACATTAACATCAAAACTATGTGTTTTATGTAAAGCCTAACATATATAATAACAATGGCAATTAACAATTATTTTCTTAGTTTTTGATGTACTGTCTTTTGGATGAGCTGAATTTTTAATAAATGTTTTTAGAGACTGAAAATTGGAGAGGATTTTAGGACAAGTAACAAAAAAAAGTGTGGTCCAAAAAACTTGCAAAATTTAAGCAAAATCCTATTTTATGATTCATACTGAAAAATTTTTTTTAAATTTATTTTTGACTGCATTGCGTCTTCGTTGCTGCCCGCGGGCTTTCTCTAGTTGCGTTGAGCGGGGGCTGTTCTTCGTTGTGGTGCGCGGGCTTCTCATTGCGGTGGCTTCTTCTGTTGCCGAGCATGGGCTCTAGGCATGCGGGCTTCAGTAATTCTGGCTCACAGGCTCTAGATTGCAGGCTCAGTAGTTGTGGCGCACGGGCTTAGTTGCTCTGCGGCCTGTGGGATCTTCCCGGACCAGGGCTCAAACCTGTCTCTCCTGCATTGACAGGCGGATTCTTAACCACTGCACCACCAGGGAAGCCCCATACTGAAATTTTAAAAGGCTAAATTTTTTTAAAAAAACTAGTAATGAGGGCTTCCCTGGGGGCGCAGTGGTTGAGAGTTGGCCTGCCGATGCAGGGGACACGGGTTCGTGCCCCGGTCTGGGAGGATCCCACGTGCCGTGTGAGCCATGGCCGCGGGGCCTGCGTGTCCGGAGCCTGTGCTCCGCGATGGGATAGGCCACAACAGTGAGAGGCCCGCGTACAGCAAAAAAAAAAAAAAACAACAAAAACTAATAATGATAATTCTATAAATAAAATTACAACTGTCTAGGTTTTTAATAAAAGACATCTGTGGCTTCCCTGGGGGCGCAGTAGTTGAGAGTCCGCCTGCCGATGCAGGGGACACGGGTTCGTGCCCCGGTCTGGGAGGATCCCACGTGCCGTGTGAGCCATGGCCGCAGGGCCTGCGTGTCCGGAGCCTGTGCTCCGCGATGGGATAGGCCACAACAGTGAGAGGCCCGCGTACCGCAAAAAAAAAAAAAAAAAAAAAAAAATTAAAAGACATTTGTAATTGAACACTACCGTCAATTAAACTGATGAACTTTATTGGGGTTAAAACTATAACAAAGTTCATCCTAAATCATTTTGCAATGCAAAATTTCACTCAAGGAGTGTTTAATAATTTGGATGCCAGGAATTACAAGCAATTTTCAAAAGCAAAGACTCTCACATTCATAAAACTTTATACATCATTTGAACTAACAGATATTTATACTACTAAAATCAAACATGCATCACTTTCAAGCATTCTTGTATCATGATTTTATATATTACATTACTTATCAGCATTCTTCATCACTACATGTATTTTATCATACACTTGCACCATTCTCCTTGGATTTCTGATCTTTATCTTCATTCTTCACATTATCCTATAAAATACACAAAGGAAAAGTATATTTTATTAAATTCTCTTAAATGTAACTTTAAAAATAACAAACATTACTAAACAGAGATACTGCAGATAGCCCATTTCACCATCTATGGAAAATTGAACCGGGTGGGGGGAAGGGGAGAGTATGAAAGAAATCTCTCAATTCTGTGCAGAATGACTTCTAGTATTTGAGAAAGCCATCTAAATCCTAAGAAATTAGAGGTTCTTAGGACTATATTACTAACAGCAGTATATTCCTTGCACTGTAGTTTTTCTTTTTTGTCTTCTTGTTCTCCGAGTGAGACCCAGGAGGTGGAAGGTCTCTCAATTACTAAAGTTAGTTTACAAGGGGACTGAGTTACTAGATATTTTTGAGACAAAGAATACTAATAAATTTTGATAGTGTCAAAAAGTTTCTCAACTCTGCCCAATAAATGGGTTTAAAAAAGAAGTGAATGGGGCTTCTCTGGTGGCGCAGTGGTTGAGAGTCCGCCTGCCAATGCAGGGGACACGGGTTTGTGCCCCGGTCCGGGAAGATCCCACATGCTGCGGAGCGGCTGGGCCCGTAAGCCATGGCCACTGAGCCTGTGCGTCCGGAGCATGTGCTCCGCAACAGGAGAGGCCACAACAGTGAGAGGCCCGTGTACTGCAAAAAAAAAAAAAAAAAAAAAAAAAAGTGAATGGCTTTTCTTCCTCAAGTTCAAACTCGACCTCTGATTCTAAAAGAAATGCAACTTGCTTTTTAAGAAGTCTGCACACCAGGACTTCCCTGGTTGCATAGTGGTTAGGAATCTGCCTGCTAATGCAGAGGACACAGGTTTGATACCCGGTCTGGGAAGATCCCACATGCCGCAGAGCAACTTAGCCTGTGCACAACTACTGAAGTCCATATGCTGTAGGGCCTGCGTGCTGCAACTACTGAGCCTGCGTGCTGCGACTACTGAACCCCGCGTGCTGCAACTACTGAACCCTGCACGCATACAGCCCATGCTCCGCAATAAGAGAAGCCACCACACCACAACGAGGAGTAGCCCCCACTTGCCACAACTAGAGAAAGCCCACGTGCAGGAATGAAGACCCAATGCGGCCAAAAATAGATTAAAAAAAAGAAGTCTGGACACATAAATCATGTTGACATCTGAAGTAAGTTCTAGGAAAATACCATCTTTGGGGAATTGCTTTTGACTAATCTAATGAAGGACACAATGCTACCACTATTTTCTGTTAGAAAAGCCACTAAGAGCTTAATAATATTAAATTTGCCAGAAACAGACTTTTTAGAAAAGGAATAAACTATGAAAATGTTGAAGGTACAAAACAGCTAACCTTCTTAAGAACAGTGTGGATCTCATCCATTACTGTGGATAAGTTTCTGATTGTCTTATTCAGCTGGTTTTCAAATTGCAAATTCATGTTTTCTGAAATCTTTAAGTTTTCTTGTAACTGACTAAGGTCCTTTTTAACTTCTCTGAGTTCACCAGAGAGGTTTTTGTTGGAATTCTCCAAATTTAAGATAGTTTTTTCATCTTCATCTGTCAAAAAACAAAACAAAACAAAACCAAATTCACCATCTTACCCTTTAAAATTTCCAATTTAACTCTGAGGTTAAAAATACTTAAGCTAGGAGAATAAAAAGTGTATATAATTCTTTAAACTGGCCACAAGTGTCAATTTTAATAGTTATAAAGCACACTGTAATAACTCATTTCATTTAAATTGTTTTACCTAGTATTACTTCCAAACCCAAGTTCCATTTTAAGATAATTGTACAGACTAGAGAAAGTAGCAGAAACTAATGAAGACTAAGTGGAACTAGGGGAGGATTAAGAGGATGCAACAAACAACAATCAAACTTGAGAATGCACATGAAGATCTAAGATTAATTCTTATAAAGCTAAGCAATTTTATAATCTTTAACAGAAACAGTGAAAAGTAAACTTACATTATGTGTCTAGACTAAAACAAGGTATGGATATGCACAAGTATAGGTATGTATATACGTGTGTACACATATATATCCCAATAGAGTGTTAAAAGTACCTCATATCCAATGCTTTTCCTTACCTGTCTTTTCTTCTAGTAACTGCAGCTTCTGTTCCACTTCAGCTCGTACTTTTTCACTCTTTTCCAATTTTTGCAAGAGGCTTCCTACATCGACCATTGCACCATTATACACAATAAGGCCAACATTTTCTTCCATATCCTTTGATTCCTGTTTTACTATCGGTGTTGGAAGTAACAATCTGTTTCCTATAATATAAAAGATACCATATTCTTTTGGCCATGTCACACAGCATGTGGGATCTTAGTTCCCTGACCAGGGATCGAACCTGTGCCTCCTGCAGGGGAAGCACGGAGTCTTAACCACTGGACCGCTAGGGAAGTTCCTAAAATATACCGTATTTTATTATGTTATTTTCTTCTTTAATTAATAATATGGTTATAAAATGGCATGATCTTAAAATAATATACTCAAACCTAGCATATCTTCCTGCAATGCTTCAGATTCTTCATGATTTTCTTCATCTTTTGAGGTGTCCGTTAATTTTCGGTAAAAGCAAGATTCACGGAGTACTACTTTATTAAGAAGCTTCTTTACCTGTTATTTAAAAAGACGAAAGTAAGTTTTTGATTCTCCTTGAACATCAGTGTTCTAATTTTCACATATGATAAACATCAATGGCATCTCAGGTATCCACTACCACTCAATTAGAGCACTTAACGCTTTTAACTGTCTTCTCTATGAACCTAAAATCAAATTATCACTTGAAAAAAATTGTCAAAAAAAAGTCTAACTGATAGAAACGTCAATACATAAAGTATGCATACAAACACGTTTATTAAAGCATAGTTTGTAATTCTAAAAAATGAAAGCCATTTAGCAACTGGGACTAGTTAAGGCAATAAAGGCACATCTACACCATGGAATACTAGGCAGTAATAAAAAGAACAAAATGGGTCTCCATTTTCATGGTAGAATGCCCATGATATATTACTAAATGAAAAAAAGTCCATCAGTATGTTTAGAATGATTTCATGTGTTGTTTATAAAACTGGAACTATCATATATATATATACGCATATGAGTTGCTTACAAAAGGATCTAGAAGTTTATATATTAGGCCAGAGGAGTGGAACTAGAGGAAGAGACTTTTAACCTCTTTTACTTTATTTATTTCAGTATTGCTTAACTGTATTACTATAAGCCTATATTGCTTTTTTAAAAAATTTACTTATTTTGCATCACCGGGTCTTAGTTGTGGCATGTGGGATCTAGTTCCCTGAACAGGGATCGAACCCGGGGCCCCTGCATTGGGAGCACTGAGTCTTAGCCACTGGACCACCAGGGAAGTCCCTGTATTGCTTTTATATTTCAAAAAGTCAAAGGTACTAAAAAGACAAAGTTACTTAAACATGCTTTTTTTTTTTTTTTTAAATAAATTTATTTATTTATTTTTGGCTGCATTGGGTCTTTGTTGCTGTGTGCAGGCTCTCTCTAGTTGCGGCGAGCGGGGGCCACGCTTCACTGCGGTGCGTGGGCTTCTCATTGCGGTGGCCTCTCCTATTGCGGAGCACAGGCTCTAGCCGCACGGGCCTCAGTAGCTGTGGCTCAAAGGCTCTAGAGCACAGGCTCAGCAGTTGTGGCGCACGGGCCCAGTTGCTCTACGGCACGTGGGATCTTCCCGGACCAGGGCTCAAACCCGGGTCTCCTGCATTGGCAGGCGGATTCCCAACCACTGCGCCACCAGGGAAGCCCACTTAAACATGCTTCTAATTTTAAATATTCACAAGATAGATTACCTGAGCCCGAGAAAGATGTAGTCCAAGAGTATAAAGTATTTCTTCCAAATCCTTTTCAAGAAGGTAACCACAATGGCTTTGATCAAAATAAACAAATGCCATTAACAGATCTCTGTTAATTGTGATCATCTGAGTCTTTTCTTTTTCCTAAAGAAAATGCAGAAGATACAGTACATAATTTTTACCCGATAAGTGAGAAAATTAGACTGTGTCCATATAATACCAAAAATCTGCAAACACCTTTACCTCATCTTAGCTAAAATGAATTGATCTGATTTATGTATATAGAAGAAAAAAGTAAGACACACTGATTATCTGACAAAACAACAAATACCAAAATACAACTGACTGAATTCTGATGAGTGGTAATATATAGATATACAAGGATCAATAAAGTTCATCACTTAGTTATGTTTAATAATAAGTCTGGATTATGTAAGAAATGGAAATTATCATATTATAAAAAATACAGTATTATACAGAAATGTCACATCACTGTGTTGTACACATTAAACATAATAATGTATGTCAAACATACTTCAGTATTTAATACATACCTTATCTTTAGAGGGCCTCTCCTTGCAGTATCTGTTAATATCTCTTTTGTCATCTCGTTTGTTTATTTCTTCCTCATCCCGATCTATAAAATAAATACAACAGCAGCAAAAGACTCATTAATAGATAAAATTTCAACTACTGTACAGATTGAAAATACTTTTTTACTACAGATCAGTTTTCAAAAGATAAAATAGCAAAGAAATATTATACGACTAAAAACAATTTGGATCTTATAAGAAAATTATAAAGAATAAGAACAGGAAGAAATTTATAAAGAAACTACAGGGAAGAAAAAAATGGACTTTACTGATTCAAATACAAGGACTTAATTCAATAAATATTTGGGTGAATTAGTTTCCAAACATGAATGAATTTTATACAAAAAACTGAAACATAAATTTAAACAAAACAGGGCAGAGAATATTTTCTACAAGATAAAACGAAAAACAGCCAATATAGTAAAACTAACTGCAGATGGATTACTGCAAAATAAAACTACATATGAGAATTGAAATGTTCTTAATAAAGAAGACCTAACAGTATTAATACCCAGATTTGCTGACACTAATGTATGTGTCCTTTGATGATAGATAGGAAATTTGGGCTTCCCTGGTGGCACAGTGGTTCAGAATCTGCCTGCCAATGCAGGGGACACGAGTTTGAGCCCTGGTCCGGGAAGATCCCACATGCCATGGAGCAACTAAGCCCGTATGCCACAACTACCGAGCCTGCGCTCTGGAGCCCATGAGCCACAACTACTGAGCCCACGTGCCACAACTACTGAAGCCCACACGCCTAGAGCCCGTGCTCTGCAACAAGAAGCCACTGCAATGAGAAGCCCGCACATCACAAAGAGTAGCCCCCACTCGCCGCAACTAGAGAAAGTCCGTGCACAGCAACGAAGACCCAGCGCAGCCAAAAATAAATAAAATAAATTACAAAAAGTAAACTTTCTCTTACCTATCCATAAGCTACCCAGTTCCTGAAGACCTCAGCCATTGCCCTCAGGTCAAGCACCATTAACAGCTTGTTATTCAACTAATACTGAAGAATAAATCTGTTATGGGTTCAACTGTTATCCCCTAAAGTTCCAAAGCTGAGGTCCTAAGCCCCTAGTAGTTCAGAATGTTGCCTTATTTGGAGAAAGGGTCTATCTATACAGAGATAATCAAGTTAAAATGAGGTTATTAGAGTGAGCTCTAATCCAATGACTGGTGTCTTTACAGAAAGGGGAAATTTTGACACAGACACATGCAGATAGAAGACGATGTGACAATACAGGGAAAAGATGGCCATCTACAAGCAGCTGAGGAGAGCTGCTTGGAACAGACCCTTCCTCACAGCCCTCAGAAGAAACCAACCCTGCTAACTCCTTCATCTCTGACTTGGCCTTCAGAACTGTGAAGACAGCAAATTTCTATTGTTTGAGCTAAACAGTTTGAGGTACCTTTCATGGTAGCCCTAGTGAACTAATAAGACATCATCCTTTCATGAATTATATACAACTAAACAGCTTTTTTGTCGATATTTAATGATCTGTCAACAATTTTAAGAGAAATTTTGTTTCTAGAGACTTCTGGATCTCTCAAATGGATCTCCATCAGAAAGCCTGGAGTAACAAAGGGTTTGTTGATAAAATAGGAGATACAGTAACACTAGGAGTTAATTAGCCCTTGAGATATTACACAGCATAAATTTATAACATTTCACACTATATTCCCTTCTTCTTCTTCTTCTTTTTTTTTTTTGCAGTATGAAGGCCGGCCTCTCCCGTTGCGGAGCACAGGCTCCGGACGCGCAGGCTCAGCACCCATGGCTCACGGGCCTAGCCGCTCCACGGCAAGTGGGATCTTCCCAGACCGGGGCACGAACTCGTGTCCCCTGCATCGGCAGGCAGACTCTCAACCACTGCGCCACCAGGGAAGCCCTATATTCCCTTCTTGAACATCCACAACATACATAAGCAGCTAAGAAATTCTGTAGTAAAACATGCAGACCTTTGCTTAGCCCAAGTTTCCCAAATTTATTTGACCCCAGTATACTTTATTAACCTTAATACCTGTTAATTATTTTGGAACACTCTGGGAAAGACTGCTTTAGGTGAGAAGTTGTATGCAAGTAGTAACAATATAGAGAAAACTTTAAATAGAATATACATGATAAAACACACATGAACCTTGATAACACTATGCTAAGTGGAAAGAAGCCAGTCACAAAAGATTGCATACTGCATGATTCTATTTATATATATGAAATGTCCAGAGTATCTATAGAGATGGAAAGCTGACTAGTGCTTGCCTAGGGCTGAGGAGATGCGGGGGGAAATGGGACTGACTGCTAATGAGTACAGGATTTCTTTTTGTGGAAATGAAAATGTTCTAAAATTGACTGTGGTGATGGATGGATATATTAAAAACCAGTGAGTTGGGACTTCCCTGGTGGTTCATTGGCTAAGACTCCACGCTCCTGATGCGGGGGGCCTGGGTTCGATCCCTGGTCAGGGAACTAGATCCCACATGCCGCAACTAAGAGTTCTCAAGCTGCAACTAAAAAGATCCTGCATGCTGCAACTAAAAGATGCTGCATGCGGCAACGAAGACCCCACGTGCCACACCTAAGACCTGGCATACCACCCAAATACATATTAAAACAAAACAAAAACAAAAAAAACTGAGCTGTATACTTTTAAATGGGTGAACTGGTTGATATGTGAATTATATCTCAAGTTATTATTAAAAAAAGGAAATAGACAAATGTTCTAAAACTGGATTGTTGTGATGGTTTCACAATTCTATGAAGTTACTAGGAATTACTAAATTGTTAAATTATTAAACTAAATTATATACACTTAAAATGGGTGAGTTTGTGATATGTATTGGAACAGAAATAAACTGTTTTAAAGAAAGAGAGATAATATGTCCTTGGAACCTAATTATTTCATATATATATATATATATATATATATATATATATAAAATACAGTACAGAGTGGTTCAGCTGCTTTATAGTTTTATTATCATGGGTAAATTGATTTAGTGCTAAGAGCCTCAGATTCCTCAGTTATGAAATGGTTAGGAAACCTCTCCTTTCATTTATTCACATTTTACAGACATGACCCAGCTTATTCTGAGTATTTAACTTGAAAGGTGTCGCTTTTGAAACCATCTCCCCTGAAACCTATATTTTTAAAGTATTTTTTAAAAAATCCAGGGACTTCCTTGGTGGTCCAGTAGTTAAGATTCCATGCTTCCAATGCAGGGGGCACGGGTTCCATCCCTGGTTGAGGAACTAAGATCCCACATGTCGCACAGCACGGCTGAAAAAACAATCCAAGTAATCCTTGCTCATCTTGGAACATGCTGTCTATGTCTATAAAAACCATTTGGTAATCTTTTTCCACATCACTATCCTCTAACTTCTTTTTCAATGACTGCACAGAATTTAATTGCATATCTATGTCAAAATGTATTTAAATAATTCCCTATTGTTGAATATTAAGACTGATTTTAGTTTTTTGTTTTATAAATAATTATGAAATAAATATTCGTGTTGGTATTTGAAAGGATATGGTTAATTAACATTTCCAAACTTCTGTCCAGAGAAGGTGCAACAATTTAAACTCACCCCAAGAGTGAAAGTAATATTCTCTTTACCCCTGTTAAACTGATGTTACCTTTTATTAGAAACTTAAGTTTCATCAATTTGACAGGTAAAAATTAGACCCTCACTGTTATTTGCTCTCTGATTACTAAGAAGATTCAACACCATTTTAGACATTAACTGGCACTATATATACACACACACACAAATATATATATATTTTTAACCACAAATTCTATTTTTCCATGAGGAAAAAAGTGGTCTTCTGAAAAAAAAAAAAAAAAAAAAAGTGGTCTTCTGGAAACCTGATTGGATAATGAGATGCAAAGTATGGGGAAAAATGATAACATAAGCAAGCATCAATTAGAAATACCAAGGAAACCAAAAAAACCCCAAAACTATAATCATACCACCCTACTTGGCTTTGCAGTTCATGATATTAGTTCAACAAATATCTATTTAGAGCCTATTTGGATATTTAGGCTGTTCTAGGAACTTCCAATATATATCAGCAAAGAAAATAAAGAAAAATCTCTTTCTTATTAAGAGCTTATATTCAAGTGGAAAGAAGACAGACAATAAGTAAACTAAGTAAACAGTAGAGTAGACTAGGTTTTACGTTCTATAAGTAGAAGGGGATAAGGAGGCATCAGGAATGTGTACTTTGATGGGGCTGGGGAGGAGACTGCAATTTTAAATAGGGTGCAGAGCAGACCTCCCTGAGAAAGCGATAGCTGAACAGAGACTGAAGGTGTTGAGGGAGTCAGCAAGGTGGGTCTCTAGGAGAGCGTGCAGGCAGAATGAACTGCCAATGCACAGGTCTTAACACAGGAACATATATAATGGGTTCAAGGAGGTCCCAGTGACTGAGGTGCAATTAGCAAGTGCAAAGAGTTGTAAGAGACAAAATTAAAGACTTGATATGGTAGGGTCTTACAGGTCATTGTAAACACTATGGCTTTTTTCATAGAGTGAAATGGAGAGCAACTGTAAGAATTTGAACAAATAAATGACTTAAATTATACAAAGTTATTCTGGCAACTGTACTGAAAAGAGACTTTAGAGGAAGGGGATAGGCAGGGAAACCAGTATAAGGGGCTATTAAAATAATCCAGGCAAGAAACAACATGGGTTGGATTAAGGTTAGATCAGTGACGCTGGTGAGAAATGGTCTGATTCTGGTTATATTTTGAAGATAGAGGCAATATGACCTCCTGATAGAACTGGAAATGGAATATGACAGAGAGAGAGAGAGAGAGAGAGAGAGAGAGAGAGAGAGAGAGAGTGAGTCAAGGATGACTCCTAGATTTTAGCTTGAACAACTCTAAGGATGGGATTGCCATCAAAAGAGGTGGGGAAGGCAGAAGGTAGAGGATTTTTTTGCTTGTTTTCTTTATGGTGAAAAGGAAAAGCAGGAGTTCAGTTTTAGACATGTTTATCTTGAAATGTCAGATAACTTAAGTGGAGATGACAAATAGGCAGCTGATATAGAAGAATAAGAGAAGTCTGACTTGAGATATAAATTTGAGAACTGTCAGTACATGCAGATTGTATTTAAAGTTGGGAGAATGGAAGAGACCACCACCAAGGGAGTTATATGGTAGAAAAGGAATAAAGAAGACAACTAAGGGATGAGAGCTAGGACATTCTGACATAAAATAATGAGAACACTGTTCACTGATTTAACAAAAGCAGTGATAAAACAATACTGGGAGGATGGGGGAGAGAAAATGGGACTGTAAAAAAGGCTAATCTTGGTACTTCCCTGGTGGTGCTGCTGTTAAGAATCCTCCTGCCAACGCGGGGAGATGGGTTTGAGCCCTGGTCCGGGAAGATCCCACATGCCTCAGAGCAGCTAAGCCAGTGTGTCACAACTACTGAGCCTGTGCTCTAGAGCCCTCAAGCCACAACTACTGAGCCCACGTGCTGCAACTACTGAAGCCCATGTGCCTAGAGCCCGTGCTCCACCAAGTGGGAAGCCACCACAATGAGAAGCCCGTGCACCACAATGAAGAGTAGCCCCTCTCACCGCAACTAGAGAAAGCCCACGCGCAGCAACAAAGACCCAACACAACCAAAAAAAACGAAAAAAGGGCTAATCTTCATTGAGCAGAGCAGGTAATGAAGACAAAATAAATACTGATATATGCATATTATATCATTGCTACTGAATTATTAGAACAATTAAGACTACACATTAGATGGCATCAATAGATGGTGTATGACATTATTGTTAATTTTCTTAGGGGTGATTATGGAATTGTGACTAAGAGAATGTTTTTTCTTAGGCAAGTTGAAGAATTCCTACTTTCAAATGGATCAGAAACATACACATGCAAACACACAGACAACACAAATAAGATAAAATATTAACTACTGAATCAACTGTGGGATATAGGGTATTCAATGCACTATTCTCTCAACTTCTTTTATGTCTGAATATTTTCATCAATTAGAAGAAAAATAAAATGCTGCGGTAGAAAGAAAAAATGTAGAGGCAAACCAAAAACACCTTAAGTAGTAATAATCCTCAAAGATATGTACTACCAAAACAAAAAAACTCTTATGATTTTGTCACCTCAAAAAAAAATGTTTTGGGCTTCCCTGGTGGCGCAGTGCAGTTGAGAGTCCGCCTGCTGATGCAGGGTACACGGGTTCGTGCCCCGGTCTGGGAAGATCCTGCATGCCGCAGAGTGGCTGGGCCCGTGAGCCATGGCCGCTGAGCCTGCGTGTCTGGAGCCTGTGCTCCACAGCAGGAGAGGCCACAGCAGTGAGAGGCCCGTGTACCGCAAAAAAAAATAAGTAAGTAAATTTTTTTTAAAAAGTCCCTGGGCTTCCCTAGTGGCACAGTGGTTGAGAATCTGCTTGCCAATGCAGGGGACACGGGTTCGAGCCCTGGTCTGGGATGATCCCACATGCCGTGGAGCAACTAGGCCCGTGAGCCACAACTACTGAGCCTGCGCGTCTGGAACTTGTGCTCCACAACAAGAGAGGCCGCGACAGTGAGGCCCGCGCACCGCGATGAAGAGTGGCCCCGGCTCGCCTTAACTAGAGAAAGCACACGTACAGAAACGAAGACCCAACACAGCCATAAATGAATTAAAAAAAAAAAAAAAAAGTCCCAAATCTACGTGGAAACTGACAGGTACTCAGTGGTACTCAAATACTTTAGGGCTGGCATCTATGACTAGTAAAGTATTTTGAATATCATTACTACTGGTAAAAGTCTGTTATTTAAAACATGGGTGATAGGTATATAGGTGCTTATTATTATTAGTCTTTAAACTCTATATGCTATATGTGCTCTTTTGCTTGTATGATAGTCTTCATAATTAATTAGTTTTCTAAAGATTATATTCTATGAAACAAGGAAGACTATTATACCTTTTCATGACACATTTTAACACCACATTTGGGAAATTTTTTTTCCCTCAAGTTGAGTTACCATTAATTATATATGGAACATATGACAGTTAAAAATAACATTTCTTAAAATAATCCTCTCACCTAAAAATTAGTAAAACAATACTTAACATATTTTCACTAGAGAATATTTTACTGTTTCTAGTCTAAAAAATATTATAATTATAGATTTCAGTGATACAAAGTCCCCACACAAAAACTGTATTTTTCATCCTAAGGGAAAATAAATTGGAATCATACCATCTTCTTCATCCTCAGCTTCTTCTGCTTCCATTGGATCATATTCATCTTGATTATTATCTTCTTCAGTTTCATCATCATCTTTAGAATCATCTTTTCTTTTATCTTCTTTCTGTAATTTAAAATGTCTTAAAATTAAGCAAGATCTCACCAAACATCAAATGAAAAGCATTAAATTGACTAAATTTACTTGAAATAGTATCACATTATAAATATCTTGTAACAATAATATACTTTAAGAATAAACTACCATTCACAATGTACATAAATCAAACCATCATGCTATATACCTTAAAGAATAAAGTATCAGAAAACTAGTTATAGATGCTTATATAGGCTTAATTCAAAGACTTAAATTTCTAATAATACACTAAAAGTTTTTAGTTTGGCCTTTACATTTTACTATTCTGATGGAATTCATTGTTATGTGTTACACTCCAGAAGACTAATTAGAAACTAAACCCGGTTGCTGGTCCTGGAAGTATTTACAGACCTTCCTTTCATCTCTATCTTCTTTTTTATCTTTATCATCGCCTGATTTTCTCCTTTTGGGTTTTGGCTCCTCAGTTTCATCATCTCTTTCTTCTTTTTTATCTTTTCTCTCATCTTTTTTGCTTTTCTTTTCCTTTTCTTTTTTATCCTCTTTCTCAGGAAGAGACAATAATGATTTGTATATTCTGACGCCAAAATCTCTTTGAAGCATTTCATTGAAAAGCTCTGCAAATAATGAAACCTATAAAAAGACAAACAGTAACCCAGCCAACTTTAATAGAAATATTGAACAAATCCAGCAAATCAGTAATTTATCAAATGATAATCTGTCACATCTGACAATTAATGTGCACTAACAATACAATTATAATAATTGATGTCAATGATGCTGAGTAGCCTCAAAATCCTCAAAAACTTTCCTGAAGATATAAATACTATGTTTGGTATACTTTGGGCCAAATATTACAAAAAATAACAACTGCATTACTTTATCATGTACATTTATCATGAGGTGTACTCAACAAGTTTTTATGAAATACCTACTATGTACCAGGGACTGTTCTTGGCACTGGGGATACAGCAGTGAAGAAGCAGATAAAAATCCCAACTCTCATAAGCTAGTGGGACAAAGTAAGGAATAATCAAATCAACGTTGAATTATAAGAAAAACAAGCAGGATAAGAGCACAGAGAGTAACAAGGGAGTGTAGCCAGAGATGACCTTTTTGATCAAGTGACGTTTGAAAAGTGATGTGAGGGCAGCAAGGGGAATGAGCCATTAAATAGATACCCAGAAGAGCATTCCACGCAGGGGAAACCAAATCAAACTCTTGAGTAGGGAGTAAGCATTATTACTATGCAAGGATCCAGGGATAATGAGCTTTAATATATTCATGAACCTAAAATTATATACTAAATATCCTATGTAAATATATCTTTTTTTCTTTCTTTCTTTTGGCCATGCCGCATGGCTTGTAGGATATCTTAACTCCCCGACCAGGGATTGAACCTGGACCCAGGGAGTGAAAGCACTGAGTCCTAACCACTGGACTGCCAGGGAATTCCCTATGTAAATATATCTAAGGAAATTGCATTCAACAGATTAAAAGGGTCTAGAACTTGAAATAGTTACAATTCTAAAATATGTAATTTTTGGCAATGTGTTCAGTATAATTGGTAAAACACTTCAATCAGACTATTTTCCTGATCAGAAAGAAATATACAATGTATTAAAACTATAATTGATCTTACAATCTATTTTTCTTTCATTCATGCCATCTTTATACACTTTAAATAAAAAGAAATCTATTATCAGTAAAATGACCATTAAGATGTTGAGAATTCTTTTCTCAATCATTAATGTAAAAATTAAATAAAATCTCCATTTGTGTAAGTAAATAGCAAGAATCACATATTTTTCTTAGACTTTTCTATCTTCTCTTACTCAAATAAAAAGCAATTAAGGGACTTCCTTGGTGGTGCAGTGGTTAAGAATCCACCTGCCAATGCAGGGGACAAGGGTCCGATCCCAGGTCCGGGAAGATCCCACATGCCGCGAAGCAACCAAGCCTGTGCACCACAACTACTGAGCCTGTGCTCTAGAGCCCGCAAGCCACAACTACTGAGCCCACGTGCCACAACTACTGAAGCCCGTGCGCCTAGAGCCTGTGCTCCGCAACAAGAGAAGCCCCCGCTCGCCACAACTAGAGAAAACCCACGTGCACCAATGAAAACCCAGTGCAGCCAAAAATAAATAAACAAAAAACAAACAAAAAAGCAATTAAAATGTGTTAGCTTGGAAGAAACCTAGAGAAGTAACTAGAAGATAAGTATTAATTCTACATCTCTTTTCATCTACAAGCAGTGAAAGACAAAGATACACCTAGCATTAAAATTAAATCAGTCAAAAATTTATTTATTATTGATATACGGGTTTTCTTAGTAATAATTTTTTTTAAGTTCATATACCAAAATGACTTACATTCTAATGATAGATTAAAAGGAAACTAACCAAGGGGGTATGTTAGGTGGAGAGGAAGAAAAATAAAGGATCATTCTGCTAGCAGAGGGCTGTTCCTAAATCACCTTGTTTCCACCGAACAGCATTAATCTGACATCCTCTTACAGCATCCGTCAGGTATACTTTTTAAGCAGTAAGTAATACCAAAGACTATTTTTTTTCATTTATTTACTTCCTGAATGATTACTACATGATAGGCACTGTTAAGAGTTAAATTTATGGCAATTGGTAATAAAAATAAAATCACATTGTATATAATGTTTAAGGACACTGGCTTACCGGAATTATCAATGTTTCAAAAAATATAAATATGTTAATATTGTAACATAGTTTATTTCAAGACCAATAAACATGCATTTCATGTTTATTAACTGCCTCAACAGTCCTCTATATTTGTTTGCAAATGTCTCTGGTCTAAGCACTTCATTTTTATCTTACCATCTGGTGAACGATGCCTCCTGGGTCAAGTAGGTATGATTGATTTTTACAATATAATTTATCAAATAACACAATGTGAGATATGTTGATAAGATACAATAATTGAACACAATTATAATTTTGTACAGGCTATTTACAAAACTGATATTTGGGGATATTTTACATTGTTTTGTTTAAAGAATGAAGCAATCACTTACTTAGGGATTAAAGTGCATTTCAACTGTTTTGAAAAATGACATGAACTGTTTGTTGTAAAGCTATTCTAAAGTAATGGTACAAAGAAACAGATTCATGTTGAAAATATAAACATCAATTATTTTATCTTACACCTAAATCAATCACAAGTAAAAGTTTCAATCCCACTAAATGGTATTTTAATTCTAGAGTAAATAATAAAGTGCTACCACATTCCCAAAAGAAGCAATTAGAGATTATTGTATCATATGTCTCCCAATATCCTGATATAAGAACACACCACTACACCACTACTTGTAATGTAGTCTTGGGAAAAAAATAACTGAACCTGAACCGGATTGAGACTTTAGGTCCAACTATCAATTTATGGGAAATAGAGAGGCCAGAAGAACATTTAAACCATATCACAGGAATGCAATCAGCAAAAGTGAGTCTGTAGTGAACATCATCTGGTTGTTCTTTCCCCAAAAAATACATTGTAAGGAAAATACAAAAAACAAAAACAGTGAAAGAGGCACTCAAAAGAGATTTAAGAGATATATTAACCAACGTGTGAACCTTATTTGGATCCCAATTCAAACTTAAAACATTACCTCAAATGAATGTTCTTTATTATCCTCTAATCTGTAGTCCAAAAGAACACTCAAAGACATGATGCTACAATCAAACTTGCCACTTTTTGCAGCCCAGTTTGGATGTACAATGATGGCTGGCTCATCAGGCAAAATATATCTTCTTTCCCGACGCTGGCGTTCTAGTTCCTCTTGACGTTTTCTTTCTTCTTCCTACATATTTGAAATTTTAAGTAATGGTTAAACCTGCATGTACATTATGTATACATACCAAATGTATACCATATGTAAAGAAAAAGGGCAAATTTCTACGACTCCTTACGATGATAATACCAACCATAAGGGCTAAGAAGGGAGCAAAGTTCAAATTTAATAAAGCGGACAGCAGCTTTTATGGCTCCTAATTCTCTTTCTTTTCAATTTCCCAGCATAAGAAATTGCCTTCTAAAGAGGAAAAAAAACCGACAAACCTATATTAACATCATATAAATCAGGAGAGATTCTGGGAAAATAGTGCTGGTAACATAGTTTGTGGGTCTACCTGAATCCTCACATTTAAAAAGAGACAGAATAATCTAGATACCAAAACCAAAATCCATGTATATGCACAACAAAACGAGGTGATAAGGTATCCCCACAAACCCCAATATACAAGTGAGCAGACCCCAACATCTATGTGTTACTGACATCTGTGGCGGGGGGAAAGCAGAAGGAAGCAATGAGGTTCCCTGTTGGATCTAAGAACAGGAAAACCATAAAATAATCAGGCAATGGAAAGCACAGCAGGTAAATTTAACAATAGCAGCTAAAAATAGGAATAGGTGAATGAGGGTATACAAGGGATCAGTGTTAAGATCTGAAAGGGCCCAGACATTCTAGCCCTACCTATGAACTTGCAAAGCTGATTTGCCAGGGCATCCTTCCAGCACAGGGCCCCCACAACGAGGAGAAACTTCTGAGAGCAAAATCAATAGTGAGCCGGGCAGGGACAACAGAGACAAGGGAGGAGAAGGTCCACATAAAAAGTGACAGAGGGCAATAAGGATCGAAATCTCAGCAAGCCACCATATTTTTTGACAGAACAAGAAAATAACAGAACACAGGGCTCTGTGAAGTTAGAAAAGCTATCTGAAGCAATCTCCTAATAAACTTTAGGCAAACTACATTCACATAAACACAAGCAGTAGGAAAGTACTGAGGTCAAATCCCAAAGTTATTATTAGAAAAAAAAAAGAACAAGGAGCAGAATCACATCTCTGGCAAGACAATGAAAGTGGGCCAGAAAGCCATGGCCAAAAGGCAGATAAAAATCTTAACTTACTATTTTAAAGTGTGCTAAAAGACATTAAGAAAATGTTACAGGGACTTCCCTGGTGGCAAAGTGGTTAAGACCCTGTGCTCCCAATGCAGGGGGCCTGCATTTGATCCCTGGTCAGGGAACTAGATCCCACATGCAGGCCACAACTAAGAGTTCACACACCACAACTAAGCAGCCGGCGAACCGCAACTAAGAAGCCCGCCTGCCACAACTAAGACCTGACAAAACCAAATAAATAAATATTAAAAAAAGGAAAAGAAAATGTTATAAGATATGAAAGAACAACATGAATAAGAATTTTAAAAGTAGAAAATGAGGTGACAGGGACTTCCCTGGTTGTCCAGTGGTTAAGACTTTACCTTCCAATGCAGGGAGTTCAGGTTTGATGCCTGGTCAGGGAGCGAAGATCCCACATGCCTTGCAGCCAAAAAACCAAAACATCAAAAAAAAACAAAACAAAAAAAACCCCCAGAAGCAATATTATAACAAATTCAATAAAGACTTTAAAAATGGTCCAGGGCTTCCCTGGTGGTGCAGTGGTTAAGAATCCGCCTGCCAATGCAGGGGACACGGGTTCGAGCCCTGGTCTGGGAAGATCCCACATGCCGCGGAGCAACTAAGCCCGTACACCACAACTACTGAGCTTGCACTCTAGAGCCTGCGAGCCACAACTACTGAGCCTGCATGCCTAGAGCCCAAGCTCCACAACAAGAGAAGCCCCCGCTCGCCACAACTAGAGAAAGCCCGTGCGCAGCAACTAAGACCCAATGCAGACATAAATAAATAAATATATACATTAAAAAAAAAAAAGGGTCCATATCTAAAAAAAACAAAAAGAAAATGAGGTGACAGAATTTAGGGAACAATCAGAAAAGATAGTTTCAGAAATTTAAAAATAAACTAGAAGGAATAAAAAAGAAAATAAACTCAAGAGACAATGCCTTAAAAGAACAGAAGGTAATGTGGAAATCTTAAAAATCAAAAAGAAATGAAAAGTATTCAAGAAAAAGTGACCAATGTTGAGGAAGCAAAATAGGTCAGTACAAGTCATCAGAATTCCTTAAAGAAAACAAAAGCAAGGGAACAGAACAAATAAAAAACTATTACTGTGGGAGGGAGGGAGATGCAAGAGGGAAGAGATATGGGAACATATGTATATGTATAACTGATTCACTTTGTTATAAAGCAGAAACTAGCACACCATTGTAAAGCAATTATGTTCCAATAAAGATGTTAAAAAAAAAAAAAACCTATTACTGGACTTCCCTGGTAGCACAGTGGGTAAGAATCCGCCTGCCAATGCAGGGGACACGGGTTACAGCCCTGTTCCAGGAAGATCTCACATGCCACGGAGCAACTAAGCCCGTGTGCCACAACTACTGAGCCTGCACTCTAGAGCCCACGAGCCACAGCTACCAAGCCCGTGTGCCACAACTACTGAAGCCTGTGCACCTAGAGCCCGTGCTCCGCAACAAGAGAAGCCACCGCAATGAGAGGCCCGCGCACCGCAATAAGAGTAGCCCTTGCTCACTGCAACTAGAGAAAGCCCTCACGCAGCAACGAAGACCCAACACAGCCAAAAAAAAGAAATAAAATAAAAAACAGGTAACAACCTGAAGGTGGCAGGGAACCAATGCATTTTCATGAAAGCTGGATAAACAAAAAAAAATAGTGCTTGATTTAGCAGCGCACACACACACACACACACACACACACACACACACACAAATATTTTTTGGCCGCACCATGCGGTATGTGGGATCTTAGTTCCCCAACCAGGGATTGAACCCATGCCCCCTGCAGTGGAAGCAGAGTCTTAACCAATGGACCACCAAAGAAGTCCTAATATTCTATATTTTAAAAAGAAAGAAAGAGAAGAATCAAGTATTGATCCTGCCTTCTTCTATATGAATTTACCAAAAGGCAAACCTGTACCACCTGGGTAACCAAACAGCAGATGAGGGGAATATGTGAACACAGAATAAGAATTATGATATCACCATTTTTGAACCCCAATAAATCAATGGATCTAGGATTTGAGCACCAAGGGCCACTAACATCAAAAAGTGAAAATCAACTCTTTGCCTTCTTTTTCTGCTCTTCCTGTCCTGAACAATTCAGTTCTAAAGCAATTCCTACAAGCAAAGCAGGTGTCTATACAGGGGATGGAGGCTGTGAGGAAGGAGTGCTACAATGGCCCAGAGCAGATGAGCTGCCCAGTTACCAGGAATTGAAACCCAAATGAAGCAAGGAGGGTATCATCCATACAGAGAAAGCACAGGGCAGGGAATGAGAGCAGAGTGAGGATATTCAAATTGGAGAGGGAGTGTGATGGACAACTGAGAAAGTAAGCAAATATATTAAGTATAATAGAAGGTATGTTTCTCATTATTGGAGAAAGGAGTTAACATACATGGAAAGAGAGAAAACTAGAATGAACTCTGTGATGCTGGAGTAGAATTGGAGATATTAGTACAAACTTATGACTTTATTGTAGTAAATCCGATGTACCATTCTTCACTAAAAGATACCAGGACTTGCTGGGGAAATGCTGATTTCAGTAATAGGGCAGGGATAGTACACAGTGAGACTAAAACACTGTATTGTGCTGCAAAATAAGAAAGTTCTCAGAAAATGACAAGAACATTTCCAAGAACACAGAAGACAACTTGAAAGGCCTCCTGCTGGCCAACTCTGAGACAATTTCACTATAAAAATAAATATAACTTATATAGTAAAGTAAGAAATCATGCATCTCTTCAGAACAAGGTAATTTTCCTACATAATTACAAAATCATTATCACATCCGAAATTTAACAGTTCTTCATTATCTAATATCACATCCATAATCAAATTTCTCCAATTACCCCAAAAATACTCTTTATGGCTTTCCCCCCCTCTATCCGGATCCAGTCAAGTTTTGCTCAGTGCATTCAGTTGTCATGTCTTGTTAACCTTCTGTAATCTAAACCATTTTTCTTCCTTCATTACATGGACATTTTTTGAAAGTTCAGACAAGCTGCTTTGTAGAATTTCGTACATTCTAAATTGATCTGTTTTCTTACAATTAGACTAAGGTAAAACATTTTCGGCAGGAGTACTTCATAAATAATGATGTATACTTCACAAAGCATTCCATCGGGAAACACACAATGTCAGTTTATCCAATTACTGGTGTTGTAACACACTTCTGATATCCCCATGTTTCAAATTCAGAAAACATCCATAAGTTACTCTTCTGGGCATAAGACTGAGGCATAAATGGGAGTGAATAAACAGCCTCTGAGTCTTAAGGACTGAAATGCAAACAAACACACAGCTTAAAGCAGCACAATTCTCACAGAAGCACTTCACTAGAACTCCATCTCTGAACTTAGTGGCTTTGTTAACCAAATTTCATTTCATTTTTTATATCTAAAACATTATTATTCATTTTTAAGAGGGAGGAATAAAAATACGTGACTTGGAAATCAACTGTGTCTCAAGTGGAGAATGAATAAACAAACTGTGATACACTGATACTATGCAATACTATTCAGAAATGTAAAGGAACAAACTATAGAAACACAATAAAATGGGTGAATCTCTAATGCATCATGCTAAGTTAAAGAGGTCAGACTAAAAAGGTTATGTAATTCCATTTACATGATATATTGGAAAAGGCAAACTATAGGAAAACACATCAGTGGCTTCCAGCGGCTGAAGGGGTGGGAGAAGAAAATGCTTACAAAGGGGTACAGGGTATTTTTAGGAGGTGAAAGACCTGTTTATATCTTGACTGTGGTGGTGGTGGTTACACGACTATATGCATGTGTGAAAACTTGCACAACTGTTCACTAAAAGGTTGAATTTTTCTATTCTGTAAACTATACCTTAATACAAGTATATACATACATAGTCCAAGAACCCTATAAACCAATATTATGTTTAATAGTATTTAAATGATTTAGTATATACCTCTTTATCATCTTCAGATTTCCTATCATCCTCCTCTTCCTCTTCTTTCTCAGATTTCTCTAATTCCTTTTGCTCTTCTTTTTGCTCCTCTACTTTAAGCTGTTTTGTCAATCGGGCTATTAACTGGGATTTTAACCCTTTGGAACTAAGAGCTCGACTTTCTAATTCTTTTCGGAGATCATTTACCTAAATATACACACCATAAAAACACAGAAAAAGAAAACAGGATAGTGAAATAGGGAACTGTGCAATGATCTTTTGTATGACTTTTTTTTAAATTTTGGTGAAAGGGACAATTGTACAGCTCATAAAAGCTTTGTGAAAATGCAAACCGACAGAATATTTTTCGAAAATAATCTGCAACATGTTTTAAGATGCTTTGAAGAAGTTAATGCTCTTTGACCCAGAAATTCTAATTTCTGGGAATTTACCCTAAGGAAATAACCTAAACACAAGAAAGAAACTTTTTATATCGATACATTCCCTGTCATAATCCCTCCCTCCAAAAAAGTGAAGAATCTAAATATCCAATAAAAGGGTAATACCAAAGGAAAAAAAGCAGTACATCAACTAAATGGAACCCTATAGAACATTTAAAAATGATTACATGTGAAACACTATTATTAATTGAAAAGGAGACAGCAACTTTTTTACACAACATGATTAGAACCAAACAACCAACCAACCAACCAGCTTGTACCCAGAAAATATAATGGAAAATAATACATAGAATTTTTTTTTAACATCTTTATTGGAGTATAATTGCTTTACAATGGTGTGTTAGTTTCTGCTTTATAACAAAGTGAATCAGTTATACATATACATATGTTCCCATCTCTTCCCTCTTGTGTCTCCCTCCCTCCCACCCTCCCTATCCCACCCCTCCAGGCGGTCACAAAGCACCGAGCTGATCTCCCTGTGCTATGCAGCTGCTTCCCACTAGCTATCTACCTTACGTTTGGTAGTGTATATATGTCCATGCCTCTCTCTCGCTTTGTCACACCTTACCCTTCCCCCTCTCCATATCCTGAAGTCCATTCTCTAGTAGGTCTAGTAGGACACAGTCTTTATTCCTGTCTTACCCCTAGGTTCTTCATGACAGTTTTGTTTTTTCTTAAATTCCATATATAAATACATAGAATTTTAAAGAAAAGTTGTGTTTGAATGATAGGCTTGAGAAATTTTTTTTCTTCAATTTTTTATGCATACACCAATTTTTAAAATGAGCATGCCTTATATTTATAATCAAAAGGAATACAACTTTTCATCAAAAAACCTACAAACAATAAATGCTGGAGTGGGTGTGGAGAAAAGGGAATCCTCTCGCCTTGTTGGTGTGAATGTAAATTGATACAGCCACTATGGAGAACAGTATGGAGGTTCCTTAAAACACTAAAAACAGAACTACCATATGACCCAGCAATCCCACTACTGGGCATATACCCTGAGAAAACCATAATTCAAAAAAAGTCATGTACCACAATGTTCATTGCAGCAGTATTTACAATACCCAGTACAGGGAAGCAAACTAAGTGTCTATCGACAGATGAATGGATAAAGAAGATGTGGCACATATATATATATATATATATATATAATGGAATATTATACAGCCATAAAAAGAAACAAAATTGAGTTATTTGTAGTGAGGTGGATGGACCTAGAGTCTGTCACACAGAGTGAAGTAAGTCAAAGAGAAAAACAAATACCGTACACTAACACATATATATGGAATCTAAAAAAAAAGGTTCTCATGAACCTAGGGGCAGGACAGCAATAAAGATGCAGACGCAGAGAATGGACTTGAGGACATGGGGAGGGAGAAGGGTAAGCTGGGACGAAGTGAGAGTAGCACTGACATATATACACTACCAAATGTAAAAAAGACAGCTAGTGGGAAGCAGCTGCATTGCACAGGAGGTCAACTCAGTGCTTTGTGACCACCTAGAGGGGTGGGATAGGTAGATCCAAGAGGGAGGGGATATTGGGATATATGTATACATATAGCTGATTCACTTTGTTATACCGCAGAAACTAACACAACATTGTAAAGCAATTATACTCCAACAAACATGTTAAAAAAGAAAAAAAATTTTTCGTGATAATATGGGTAATTTGTCATCTTGTTTACTAAAATTTTTCTTTATTAAGGGAGAGATACTGAAAATTATCCCAATTTTATTGGAAATGTGCTTTACAAATAATAAATTTCTATTCATAAAAAGAAGAAAAGGAATACAAACTTTAAAATAAGAAACAATAGCAGAGCCATCAGTTTGACAAAAAGTCCTTGGAGTGCAGGCTTAATCTAATTTTCTGAATCTATAGCACTCTATATGAAACCTGATGTTGAGGAAAATAACTTGGTGTAGTGTAAGAAGAGCAAACATTCTTATGATACACATTCTCTACTAAAAAAGCAATGTTGGGCTTCCCTGGTAGCGCAGTGGTTGAGAGTCCGCCTGCCGATGCAGGGGACACGGGTTCATGCCCGGGTCCGGGAAGATCCCACATGCCGCAGAGTGGCTGGGCCCGTGAGCCATGGCCGCTGAGCCTGCACGTCCGGAGCCTGTGCTCCGAAAGGGGAGAGGCCACAACGGTGAGAGGCCCGCGTACCACAAAAAACAAACAAACAAAAAAAGCAATGCTGGTTTAAAAACTACACTTTCATAAAAAAGAAAAAAACCTGTATTTTGCTGAGGACAGAAGTTAATAAAAAAGGTCAGCTTTTATGTGTTAAACAGGAAGTTGCAAAAGCAAGCCAGCTTCTGATCTTCTGATCTATGTAGAATTTATGTACGTAGAATCTATGGATCTACATTCACAATATAGGCCCAGAGATGCAAAACTACAAAAAGATAATAGGTCCAAAGACGCTGGGGAGCAAAAACAAACTAGTATGATGGGTTAATCAAAGATTTTCAAAAAAGGCTCTTAAATTATCTTCTTCCTATTTCAGATGTATATCAATCCACATTTCATTTTTAAATTTTATTTAAAAACCGCATAATCTTTTTCCTATGTTTCATTCCTTCTCCTTGAATTTAAGTTAATTAAGTGCAGAAATTCCGCCTCTTGGTTAGTTCCCAAAGCAAAAAGCAAATATTGCTCATACTATAGGCACATGTATATTACATTCGACAGTGGCTGAACTGATGTATGAAGTCACCTTTTATTTAATTTTGACACACACACACACAAAAACAACAAAGAATATTTATATAAAACCAGTGGACTTCATTTCTAATGGCTTATATCTGAAAAACTACTGTCCACAACATCCTCTATTCCTGTTCAGAGATTTCAAATTAAATACCATTACTTTCAAAGTTACCTTCATTGTCTTCGGATCAAGTTTAGACCAATGGGTAGGAGTGGAAATTTCTTTAGCTTCACCATCATCCTTCTCTTCTTCATCCTGATATACAAAGTAAAGAACAGAATTACTATTCTGAAACCTTAAAATAAAGGTAATTTACTTTTAAAAGTCTGTTGCTGATCTGTGCAAGGTCACAAATGTTTCAGATTGTCTTCTCCTAAAGTTATTATTTAGGCAAGTCCACGTACATACATTCTACCACTTTTAACTGATCACAAAGACACTCATCAGCCAATCAAAGCCAGATCTGTGAAACACAAAAGGGTGATAAATTACAACACAAAGGATATCAGGGATGCACAAACACTGCCGATCTCCACTAACCAAACAGTGTGTGATCTTGCCCCAATTTTCAAGCCACCCAAAGTTAAGACTGATTTAGTCAGACCTTTCAAATGTACCAAAGACGATGCCACATAGCCTGAAATTTCAAATCTCTCAGACTTGTGGTTGTCCAATTTCAAATATCCATGACTAGAACTGATGACCGTGAAAGAGAAAATTTTTTAAATTTTAGAAAATGGCAAAATGTTTAAAATGGCTTAATACTGAATCTTGCTCAACAACTGGTCCCAGATTCCAGCAACTAGACCTATGATAAAAACAAAATTCTGTGCAATTTAAGCACAACTTATTTTCCTTTGAGGTCTCAGCACTCTTAAAGTTAGCATAATAGACAGATTTTTTTTTTAAGAGAAAACATACAACTATACTGCTGAAAGCTGGATTACCAGTCGCTGTTACCAGTTATGTTCCTCCATGTGTGTTTGTTATGTAGTGTGTGGTGTGCATTTGTGCCTGTGTTCCTGTGCCTGTGAGAAGCGGAAATAGAAAAAGGGATTAGCGTTCAGTGCCTGTTCTCCATCAGCCTCCTTGCGTTCACCCTGAAGCTTCTCGACCAGCTGCTGCTTGTATCCTCGGGAGAGGGTTTCCCACTCTGAGCGGGTGGGAAGGCAATGCCAAACATCCGGGAAAAATAAAACCACTGTCTCCACATGAGCTGGAACTGTACGCCCCTTGTGGGTCTCCTCAGGGCGATGGTAGCGAATCTCTGCAAAACGGTACCTGTTGCAAGGGAAGAAGCATGTTGGAAAAAAAATTCTAAAATACATTTTAAAGACCCTAGTTCACTTGTAGCACATCAAGTAAAGAAATTTTGCTGCAAGAACTTGAGGTTGGTCTAAAGAAAAAAAAATTATAGAAGCCATAGTTCCTCTTTTGGTACATTTGTACAATATTTTATGGTTAAAAGAAGAATATGTTCCCCAAGGCATTTTCAAAGTTTGATTACAGAGCTACCCATATTTTAGAGAATACCTGAAGAAGCTGAATAGCTGTTCAGATTTCATGTGCTAAAAAAAGAATATTCTCAATTAAGTCACAAGAAATATACTAAAATACACAGGACAAATAAGCCTCAAGAGAAAATATGGCTGAACAAAAATAATCAGCAACTACATCATTTTATAACAAAAGAATTATAATGAAATGAAGTTCTCTCTTGACGATCTTCTCCAGCTATGCATGAAATGAAAAATATTTTCAACATACATCCAACTTCCAAAGTTCAGCATAACAAAACATTAAAAATTTCAGTTTATTTTGATTAGTTCTTAATCCTTTTTCCCCAAAACATTTTTGGCACCAAATAAACTTTTGCTAATATTAGTATTTTCCTTTGAGATTACCTGCATGATCAAGATTGCTAAAATAAGGGGTGGGGGAGAAGGCTGATAGACAAGAACATCTATGTAACTATTAGAAAAACATTTCTAATCAAGAAATGAATTGGTACTTACCATTGTGTGCATACACTTAGATCAATGCCTGTCAGAGCCTTACAACAGCGAATAGCAGTCTTAATCAACACAGAGGGGTCTTTTTCTGGGTCTGGTCCATCCAACGAAGGAGACCAGTGGCCTCCAATGGCCATGGCTTCATCCTTGCCTTTCATGCCCACTAAAAACTAATTTAAAACAAAGAATCATTTACATATATTATGCAACTTGTCAAATTACAAATGAAATACTGGAAAAGTAAAGGAACAAACCTTTCTAATATCATTTTTACTACCTCGGGTATCTGTCAGTCAAGGAAGAGTTCAGTTCATCGTGTTCCACACTGCATTTCAGCAATGGAATAGGATTTATACATCATAACTCATCCTTCTAAAATATTTCCTCAGATAAAAAGTTCTTTTAAAGAAACAAGCTATAATTCAAAGTTTAAGAGCATCCTGATACACTAAACCCATTATCACTAAGATTTTACTATGCTTCAAATATAAAACATCAAAATGACAGTTGAACTAGTGACATACAAATAAGATATAGCCGTTAATCTGCAATGAGAAAAACATCTACATCATTGAGTGCCATAACTATATTAAAATTAGATATAAAACAAATCAACAAAATTTAAATGGTAGTATTTTTTAATTCTATATATACACAGTTAGAACTAAGCAAAGCAAATATACACCTAAAGTTAACATAAATGTTTCACTTTACCTTAACAAGTCTAGCAGGATGTTGAAATCCATCTCGAAGTTCTTGTGGGTCTTCAGCAAGAGCACATGACTTATGATACAAATCTTCCATACTAGGGCTAGCCATCAGCATTACCTATTATAGTCAAATAATTCAATCCTGTCAAAAGTCTAAAGTAATGTAAAAAAATGAGAAGCACTACTAATTATCCTTACATAATAGATATCTGAAGTTTTTTATAAAAATGGAAAGTAAAACACTATAGCAGAAATGGTATTAGATACCTTATAATTACATAGTTTTAACTTTTCAAGGAATGCTTTTTGATCAATGTTTTTTGAATAGCAGAAAACTACTGACCATAAACAATATACTGAATGTTACCCTGAAGACTCACATATAGTGCATTCACCCAACATTACATTTTTATCTGTGGCTACCAGAAGTCATAGAACATTCCAAAAAGCTCAATAAAATGAACTTCATCTTCACATTTTTATAAGGTTCAAAATGTTAAAGCAATAACAACATTTTTACAGCTCAAGAGTTAAGGCAAAAAGAGGTTAAATTAAATTACTTAAAAAACCAAAACAGAATCTGGGAGACAAGAAGAAAACACAGGCATTCAGATCTTAAATGTAATAACCACTTTCTGAAGATTAATTCCACATACATTCTTAATATGAATAACTACTCAGAAATTTTAGCTGTGTATCACAGAATACAAACCTTTGCACTGTATAAGTGATCAGCATCTGGTGGATCAAGAATGGCCATATTTTTCTCTAAGGACTCTACTTCTCTGTGCATTACATAAAAATTGCAGTAATTTCCCAGCTGAAATGGTCTTGACAAAGGGAAAGCATCCACCCATGTAAACTGAGCATCAAAAAAGTCACTAGGTATATATAAATTCTGATAACGGCGCCTTAGTTCCATCATGTCACAACTAGGACTGAAAAACAGACATAAGGAGTGAATAAAGAGCCTTAACACCAAATACTATGCAAAGATTCATTCAATTCTAAAGCTAAATATATAATCTGATACAGTTAACAGCCAGCTAAAAATGAACAGTCACTGTTAATCAATGAGCTATAGATTTACATAGAAGTACATGAAAATGACATTTTCAAATATGTTTACTTACAGTTTTGAATAAATAACTAGTATCTACGTGTTACTGTTATTTATTTTTTGTGTGTAGCTTAAAATTCATTTAGACAAGACCCTTTGAAATAACTTCAAGCTCCAGAAAAGATCTGAACAAAAGCAATTCTGCCTCAGTTGAAGCTGCATTTTTGAGAAAATTATGATTCATATAAAATGGATATAAAAAAGGAATAAGAGTGGTACCAATTAGTAAGAGTGCTCCTCAATCAGGTTTATACAGTGTCGGAAAAAATACAACCTTTATTCTACAGTAAGATCCCAGATCAGGCATAGTTAATTTAAAATTAAATATAAAAGTCTACATGAAAACAAAATCCAAACGTTTTTTGGATTATCCACATCTCCATACCTCTCTATCTAATGATTAAGATCCATACCTGATTATTTACTATGTAAAGAGAGGATAAGTTTCTTGCCTTTTAAATCTGGCATAATGAATTTTTTTTTTAAAGGATGATTTACTTTTTCCTAAGAAACAGAGCTTTTAAAGGAGAGAAACTCAAAAGTAAATCAATCTGGTTAATAGGCCAAGAGATTTCTGTTAAAAGCATAATGAAAAGTGGAAAACACCAATAGTCTGTAAGATGAAAAGGTAACTACACCGTCCTTTCAAATGGCAACTAAAGGCAAGAGTACGTAATATGAACTAATGTATCTATAGGGATGTCTTTTTATGTGAAACCTAAAAATAAGAAATATAGAATGGGGCTTCCCTGGTGGCACAGTGGTTGGGAGTCCGCTTGCTGATGCAGGGGACACGGGTTCGTGCCCCGGTCCGGGAAGATCCCACATGCCGCGGAGGGGCGGGGCCCGTGAGGCATTAAATATACAATGATAAACTTGTCAGTTAAGGTTGTTTACATAATTATATTTATTTGGATAAAATTTTGCTGTCAAAATAAAAATGTTAACAACAGCTGTCTGAGTTTTTTTTTTTTTTTTTTT